GTCGTCCGCAGCATGCCACACCCGGATCGGCCTGTCCCACGACCACGAGACCAGGACAGGCTGCTGGCCATCCGCACTCGGCAGCGCAATCACACCATGCACACTGTAGGTGTGGTCCTCCAGCACCTCACAGGAGGGACTGGCCGCGGTGTACCGCATCGCGCCCGTCCCGTCGTCCGCAGCATGCCACACCCGGATCGTCCTGTCCCACGACCACGAGACCAGGACAGGGAGCTGGCCATCCGCACTCGGCAGCGCAATCACACCCTGGACATCGCTGGTGTGGCCCTCCAGCACCTCACAGGAGACACTGTCCGCGGTGTACCGCATGGCGCCCATCCCGTCGTCCGCAGCATGCCACACCCGGATCGTGTTGTCCTCCGACCACGAGACCAGGACAGGGAGCTGGGCATCCGCACTCGGCAGCGCAATCACACCCTCCACATCGCCGGTGTGGCCCTCCAGCACCTCCACGCGTTCACCAGTTAGCACGTCAAGTACGTCCACATTCTTCCCACATCCACCAGCAACCAGCGAGCCACCGATGTTGATGACATTGGCATACTTGCCATCAAAGCGAAAGCGCTCAGCACCACGATGCGCGACAGGGTCCACGGCTCTCGATGGAATGAAAGCCTTAGACGAGGCATCTTTGCTCACAGCAGCAACCAGGTCCTTCACGGCGTTGGACGCGTTGTTATAGGCAAGTCGCGCAACGAGCTCGGTTTCAAAATTGCGACTTGCCCTTCTCAATGAAGTCGCGTGAAAAACGACAGCGCACGCTCGACCTCGTCAACGTCTTTGGCTCCTTCACATCCGAGGCGCACAACACAACGCAGATCATGGAGGAGGCCACCAAGCGAGTCGTCTGCGCGGGCTTTCATCCATGGCCAGGAGAGAGCAACGGCAACGGCAGCATGGTTTGCTCCAGCTGCAATCAGGTGGGAAATACCGCGGGTGACGATCCAATCGGAGGCAGTGCCAGAGGTCATGGTCTCCATAGCGGACTCTGGCGTGGCGCCAGGCGGAGGCACCCCGGCGACAACGGCGAGGTGACGGGCAGGAAGGGAAGGAATGTCGTCAACGCACACCTCAGGCCGATGGCGAATGTACTCGAGGTGCAGATCGTGCAGCTCGACTACGGTTA